GTCTTGGGAGAACCTCTTTTCTTCTTCCCCTTGGTGGAAATACTTATAAAACCTGTCTTTGAAACCATTGCCCAACCCAGGGATCAGCGAACAGAGACCCGTTATGCCAGGAATGGTCACTAAAAACCCAGATCTCGAGTTCGACTCTTTGCAGCCCTGTTTCTATCCAGACGAAGATGATTTTTATTTGTGCGGGCCGGACTCTGCTCCCCCCGGCGAGGACATCTGGAAAAAGTTTGAGCTGCTGCCCACCCCTCCCCTGTCTCCCAGCCGGGCCGGGCTCCAGGAGCACCCTCCGGGGGGAGCCCCGGTGCCGTGGGGAGGGGCGGCCTTGGGGGGCTGCCGCCCCACCGACCCCCTGGACTGGGCGTCCGAGCTACTCCTGCTGCCCCCCGAGGCCGACCTGTGGGGCGGCGCGGACGGAGGGGATTACTTCGAGACGGGGCCCGGCGTGACCAACAATCTCAACTCCATCATCATCCAGGACTGCATGTGGAGCGGCTTCTCGGCCCGCGAGAAGCTGGAGCGGGCGGTCAGCGAGAAGCTGCAGAGCAAGGCGCCCGTCGCCGCCGCCCCGCCGCCCCCCCCGGGGCCCGCGAGCGGCCCCGCCGACGGCAGCGGCCGGACGGAGCTGGGCGGCGCCGTGCCCGAGTGCGTGGACCCGGCCGTGGTGTTCCCCTTCCCCGTCAACAAGCGGGAGGCGCCGGCGGCAGCCCCGGCGGCCGGTGGGGCTCCGCGGGGCGGCCGCTCTCCGCGCCCCGCCGGGGACAGCCGGGCCAGCAGCAGCAGCAGCAGCAGCTCCGGGGACGACATGCTCAGCGATTCGGGTAAGCGCTCCAGCCCCGCGTGGTGCGGAGAGGGGTGGCGGCTCTGAACCCCCATAAGCTGCCCCGGGCGGACGGAGGCGGCTGCGCCTCGATGGCGGCCCCGGGCGGGGCGGGGCGGGGCAAGCGGCAGGCGGCAGCAGGGGCGGCCCAGCCCGGGGCCCCCGCGGGGGTGGCGGACACGGCCTGGGGGCAGCGCCCGCCCGCTGCTTCTGCTGAGCGGGCAGGGCTGGGGGCCGGCGGGGCTGAAGCTTCACCGGGGAGCCGGCCCGCCCCGGGGGAGCTGCGTGGTGCCGGGGAGCCCCGGGCTCCTTCACCGCGTCCTGCCCCTCGTGGGGCGAGGGGGGCGGTGCGGGCCGCCACTGCCACCCTGGGCACGGGGTGTATGGGGTGACCGTGTGCGTGTGCCCTCAGGCGCGATCCGGAAAGACTGGAGCCGGGCTAGTGACCCCTAGAACAGCGCTAGTACTGACAGAGCCCAAAATACCCAAAACATCCCCTGTCCGTGCACGCAGAGGAGTCCACTTGAGATGAAATGCGGTTCGGCGTGTGTGTATGAGCTGGTCCCTATGATCACAACCACAAACTTGGTGATCCGTCCCGGGTTTCAGAGCCTGCTGTCCCTTTAATGTCTGGTTTGACAGCTTTGGGTGAGGAAGCACTTCCAACAGCTGTCTTCTTGGCAGTGCACCAAGCGCCGGCTTAAAGGGTCCCCGGCTGGAACAGCTTCACCTTCTGCCTCAGAACAAACCCAGCGATTGTTTCGTTTTCCGGCTGCTTTTCTACCAAGCAGGGGCTGTGTTGTGGCTCTGTGCTTGCCTTTTGTGCTGCAGCTCGATGATTCCATTCAAAATACATAATTTCTGTGTAAAAATTCTTTTCTGCCTCCGCGATTATGTGGGTGGTAGCCCCGCTTTGATTAAAAATCAGACATGTTTAAAAAAACCCACCTTAATAAACTTGAAAAGTTTTCAGAAATCACTGTTCCTCGCTCATTTCATGTGCATTACATTACTTTAACAGATCTATATCTGACTGCATATGGTGGGCACACCCTGTTTTTTGCCATCAGTTATTTCATTACTGCTTTTACCGGATATATTTTGTCAATAAATACATCTGGATTGATACTTGGTCGGAGTATTTTCAGTCAGAATTACATCTATTTTATTTCCTGTTTTTTTTTACCAGAAGATGATGAAGAGGAGGAAGAAGAGGATGAAGAAGAAGAAATAGATGTTGTTACAGTGGAGAAAAGACGCTCCTCCACCAACAAGGCTGTTACTACCCTTACTATTACAGTGCGTCCTAAAAATACCACTTTTCCATCAGTTAGGACACAGCAGAATGGACTGATTTTAAAGCGTTGTGCACCGATTCACCAGCAGCATAATTATGCTGCTCCTTCTCCATATGTGGAGCCTGAAGAACCTCCACCACAGAAAAAGCTAAAAACCGAGGTGCCCCGTCCAGTGAAGCCCATGATCCAACCAAAGCCTAAGAGTTCAAGTCCTCGAAACTCTGATTCAGAGGATAGTGAACGGCGACGCAACCATAACATTCTGGAGCGTCAACGACGTAATGATCTACGGTCAAGTTTCCTCACACTAAGGGACCATATTCCAGAACTGGTTAAAAATGAGAAAGCTGTGAAAGTTGTGATCTTGAAAAAAGCCACTGAATATGTTCATTCTCTTCAGGAAGAGGAGCAAAAATTATTGCTAGAAAAGGAAAAATTGCAAGCCAGACAACAACAATTGCTAAAGAAAATAGAATACAGGAGGACTTGCTAGACTTTTTTTTGTTTTGGTTCTTTTTTTTTTTTTTTTTTGGCTGACCAGGACAGTCATTGCCACTTTGCACATTTTTGATTCTTTTAAAAAAATTGTGTTTTTTGACGTTAAGAATGTTGGTTTTAATTTCAATCCAGTCCCTGAAGTAATTGACAAACTGTATTATCCGGGTACGGAGCAAATGGATGTTCTTGCAAGGAGTTTATTGCAAGACTACCAAACAACAATGAACTGCCTTTGTTTTTCTTAAGAACTGTAGATGGTGGGGAATTTTTTTTTTTTAATTGTTGTGAGCATTTGGAGCTGCTGATGACATCTAGTTGAGTTTTAAAATGTTCATTCCTAAGTTTTATGGTGCTTATGTTCTAACAGATGTTACTTTAGGGGTTGGCATTTTGTACCCCTGTGGGAATTTCTGTAAATACCATCTACACACTTGCCTTTTGTACATGTCTTGGGTTATGAGAGGTGGCTTTTGCTGCCAGTATTAGACTGGAAGTTCATACCTAAGTACTGTAATACCTCAATGTTTGAGGAGCATGTTTTTGTATACAAATATATTGTTAATCTCTGTTATGTACTGTACTAATTCTTACATTGCCTGTATACTTTAGTATGATGCTGATACATAACTAAATTTGATACTTATATTTTCGTATGAAAATGAGTTGTGAAAGTTTTGAGTAGATATTACTTTATCACTTTTTTGAACTAAGAAACTTTTGTAAAGAAATTTACTATATATGCCTTTTCCTAGCCTGTTTCTTCCAGTTAATGTATTTGTTAATGTTTGGTGCATAGAACTGGGTAACTGCAAAGTTCTGTGTTTAATTTCTTCCAACGATGTACATTTAGTGCTGCGTCTTATAGCACTTTGAAATACCTCATGTTTATGAAAATAAATAGCAATTACATGATGTGCCATTTACTATTTTTCTTTTAAATAAAATCTTTAACTTTGCAGTGTTGATGAAATACAACAACATGGTCCTGTATCCTGGACATTTCAACTCTCAAACTATAGGTGATGCTTTTTTTACAAAAACTCAGCCAGGCAGGAAATTTCTATTTCTGGTTGAAAAACAATTGTAGTAAGAACATTTTCCCTATTTCATACTTATGATGTCACGATCATTCAAGGGGACCAGATGTCACAGTTAATGGAATGATGTTGTGTCTTACAAAGACTTCTGAAATATCCATTGTAACCAGAGAATTGGGAGGGATCAGAAACAACACAGTTGGCATGCTTCTGATAAGGGACTGGTCTCATCGCGGCACACAGGTGGGTAAGTATATGATGGAGGTACAGTTGCCAAAGCACAGAAACTGAAGTGCTGGTAGTAAACAAAAGATTTTACTTGGTTTCTGTTCTTTGCATTACAAAAGGCTTAAAGCTGTTCCATCATTGCATGGAGGAATTAATGTTCCTGTTGGTAGCTGAAGATCCTGTTTGTTACTACTTGTTTTAAGTTAGTAAAATTAAAAATCCTAGGGAAGATACAGAGCCATGCAACGTGTGTCAAATGAACGTGAAACTGGCAGGGGGTTGTCTTAAGAGGTGACATTTGATGTGAGCAAGATGTGAAAGTCCATGAAATATGTTTGGTCATTGGGTTAAACACCATGGGACTAAGGAGTTGCCTGTACAGGTATTTGTGACATTGTCTTTCTTCACACTGACAGAAAAAGAAGGTATGAATTAAGAACAAAATGGCCAGTAAGTCCTTTGAGGATCCACTTGTAAGAAACTAGTCTGGGACATCAATCCCTACTGGAGCCACAAAGGAAGTTGCTTGGTGATGGAAGTACAGAAATCTCAGGTTTGCTATGAGGAAACAGTAAGTGCAGAATGGGAGCAAAATCACCACAATAATGGATGTGCCATATGTCCATCCCTACAGTTTGTTATGTATTCATAAATCTGTGTGTTCTTGGGCCCCAGCCAGTTTCTGTACCGTGACCGTTGGGTTCAGTGCAGTAAATCCAGACCTTCAACAGGTGCAAACTGATGTGACACTGGATTCAGCTAGGCATTTGACAAGTTTAGGCATTTGAAGAACTGGCCTGAATAGACTTGAGATCTAAATTCAGACTTGACCACAGTCATTCCATCCATAAAATCTTCATTTTCATTCCCTTGATGTGTACTTTATCATGATTCTTCCACTTTCCTAGCACAGTGAAAAAAAAAACAATAAAAGCCTAAGCAGAGACAATTGGTGTGGACAATTACAGGGTACATTTATTTGTACTAGCTAAACCAATTTTCAAACCTCATTTTATTAGCCAATTGTCATACTGTTTTCAAACAAGGTATAAGTCACGAGTCTTCCTGAAGAAGGAAAGCTTCCCTTCCCTTCCCTTCCCTTCCCTTCCCTTC